CCCCCGCCCCTTAGAGTATGTTCTATGGGTCTGAAAAAGCGAAAACGGATTGGAGCAGGAAGGAAGTGCCAGCACACCCCTCCCCCCATTTAATGTCTGATTTCCTTGGGAGGTCATTCTTGCCTTGAATATGTGTGGCTGTGTTTGAGGTTGGGGATTAAGTAGAACAAAAAGTATCTCACTTCTTTTAGGACTGCATGCACTTTTCCCTCTTATCTTGAGGCTCAGACAGTCCTAAACTCTCTCTCTCTCTCTCTCCCTCCCTCTGATCACATGCGTAAACAGTACCTCGAGACAAAATGCATATATATATATATATATATATATATATTTAGCCCATCATTGTAAATGGCATGGCACTTCTCTACCCTTCCCTAATGTCCCCTTATCAATTATGAATGGAGGTCTAGCGTCCATGGTAAATATTTCCACTATAATCACATTGAGATGCAACGGCAAAACGGCAAGTTTTAATTTTACAGCGTTAATACACAAAGCTAATGGGAAATACTTGCAGTATTCGAATGACGAAGGCATCAGATATCAACTAACAGAAAACGAAGCAAATCATAGAGGGAGGGGGTGTCCCCAGAGAGATTCTGTTAACAACAACAGGACATCATAGTGCCTTCATTTGACTTTTGAACCCGAGGTGTGTACAAAATTTATTAAGTAACCAATTCGCTTTCTACGATTCGTTCCATAGATTGTAGCAAATGCTCGTCTACAATATTCAGAGCTTATTCGCCCATGTTATAAAATCCAATTTGGGGGGTCTTGCTGTTTTACCTCATTATTTTTTCTACGGAAGTTGCAATAATAAAGCGCACAGGGAACAGCCCCATATTGGTAGGAAACGGAGGTGAGAGGCGGTCAAAATCTTAACTTGAGGTGGGGGGGGGGGGGGGGGGGGGGGGGGGGGGGGGGGGGGGNGGGGAGGGCGGAGGGGAGGGGAGGGGGAGTGTCACTGAGTCTTCAAACTTGCCATTGACTCACATCATACTGCTTTAGTCGAATCTTCTGTGAATTGACACGCGTGTTCGTGGATGTGGTCAAGCTTGCAATGTTATGAGTTGGACGTGGATCAATTACATTGAGTATTAAAAACAAGCAAGCAATTGTGGGAAGTCACCAGAGGTCTCTAATGCTGAACTGTAATCATTACTATTCCTTAATTCATACAGCCAACCATGTACTTTAAATTAATTTTGCTAAACGCGCAATATTAAAAAGTGGTTTCTGACTATCACTTTGCAACATTTTCATTCCTAATTTTAGAAAAACTTTATGGTATTGAAGGTAATGGCTTATTTTGTGCATATCTGGATTCAAAGACCGAAAACCAGCGTTACAACTAACACATTTCTTATATGCTTTGATTACGGTTCATGTTTTGTTCACGTGAACCAGCCTTTTTCGTTGAAAATGATTTCCAATCATAGGTCTAAAGTAAAAGTGATTTCTTTTAATAGTTTATACAATCAAATTTGATTGTCATAATAAAATTGCACTATTAAGTTGCAATTTATCTGCCTACTAATTTCTGCGGAGCGTTTATTAACATGCATTATAGTGGAAGTTTCCGTTCCAGCTCTATAACAGATCAAATCGGATGAATAGAGCGGATCCGGGTGTTCTGACACTGAAGGCACTTCTACAGAATTCCATGGGTGAGGAGGGACTGGATCCCCCACTGATTGATTTCTTGTCTCGGTGTCTGTGTTGGGATCCCCAAGAACGAATAACGGCTCGTGAAGCACTCCAACACCCGTGGATCTGCGCAAATGAGATCTCCGATTTGGATAATGGTTCTGCTTTGAAAAACGGTGCTTCCACCACATCTTCCGATGAATGGTAGTTTTAGTGAATTCATAAATTGTTACACATCAAACTACCTATTTAACTAATTTATATAACAATTTCCCCTTTAGAAGCCCATGAAATCTGAAAACCTCCCGACGTCACGCGAAGAAACTTCATCGGCCCTAGTTACCTGATTTTGCAGAAAATAGTTATCATTAATGTATATGTGACATTGTGGAATACACTATTTATGTGTAAAACTATTGTCTCCTATTAAGGACACTGGTCTAATAATAAAAATATTGATGAATTGAAAAAAGAAGAATGAAGCGCTTATCAAGTGAAAAGAAGAGTTTAATTTTCATACACTTGTTTATTTATTTAATTAATGTGCCAGGTGCTTCATCTAAATGATCATAAGTTGAGACTGATGGTTAGAAATCGTGAATGCGGGATTAACTCCAAATTCTTTAAAATAAATAAAATTTATTTATAAAAATGGTGACCAAAATTTTGGCTAGCCTCACAAAATTTTCAGGACCTGACGTTTACAAAATTGAATCAACATAGAAAATCGCACTATTTATTTGAAATTTTTTAGTCTACATGTAAATTTCAATTAATTTTTGTTTATCAAAACAGTTAAATTAGTTAAAAAATACTCTGTTGATTGCATTTTGCCTCTTTATTAAAAGAGTTAACTAAGTAAGGATAACAAGTATCTTTGATGCGCAGTATCGGCTGCAACTCGATTCCTAAGAGAAGAGGGGTCACTTGTATACAGGTTTTATCTCCATTGATCCGTTTTGGGTAAGAAATCAAGATTGGATGGGGAGATCAGAGAGTTTTGCGATTCTCCATCTTGATTCAGAAACTAACATGACATCTCTCTCTCTCTCTCTCGGTATCTAAATGAAGAATGAATAAAGAAGCTTTGCATATCTCCTCTCCTCTCCTCTCATGGTGACTTGAATATTTGCCCTCCAGCATTGTCAAGAGGTTAGCTATTCATGCCGCTCAGATTTGGTGGTGAGTGATAAAGGGAGATGTGGAAAGCACGTCAAGTCTTCCCTCTTAACAACGAGACTTCCTTTAAATCGCTTAAATTCAAATTTATCTGCACAAGAGCAGTAATTCCGTGGATAAGCTCACTTAGACTGATACCAATGTGGAAACATTGAACTTTAATTTGACTACTCAAAACACTACCCATCGTGGGCAAAAGTGAGTGCAGCTTCTTCTTCAGTCTCACCTACACTTCGATCACAGCACCTGAAAACTCTTCCAATTGGAAAAGAAACAGATTTGACAACATCAACAACAACAATGCCCTCGAATTGATTGCACTTATCACCCACCAGTGCCGATTGCCTAGAAAGAGAAGGCGTCTTCGTTTATGGCCTTACGTAGTTGCACTGACGAGGTAATTGGGACGACTTGATCATGGTGCACAAGTTAGGAGTTTTGTTTGGGAGGTATGGTGTGGGGTGAGGGGTGAGGAGTGAGGGGAGTTTGGATCCCGACAATCTTCTTTATGCCCAGTAGGTGGCATATTTACTTTGTCTGCTGGTCGAGCGAACGCGTAATACCGAGACTGATTGTTGCATTGGTACAGTTCGGCCAAGAGACTGAATGTCCTGTGACAAATTGCATAGATTATGTGAGACAAGTTGCTTTCGCTCTAATCTGACTGAAGGGTACAACTTCATATCATCATTGGTCGTCTTAATTGGTGTTGAGGCAGAAGGGGAGGGGTTATCACTTTCGAATGGAACTATGAAATGTGTCTTATACGCTTCGAAAAAAAGCATTGGAATTAATCCTTACAACTCCTTGATAAATACAAATGTCATCACATCAGGGAACTATATTGCAGTGTGAATGAACTGTATAAAGCACGTTGAATTCTAATCGAAAGTAAATTTGAAGGCAGAGTGTGAGGAAACATTTGAGATCTTTNACAAATTGCATAGATTATGTGAGACAAGTTGCTTTCGCTCTAATCTGACTGAAGGGTACAACTTCATATCATCATTGGTCGTCTTAATTGGTGTTGAGGCAAAAGGAGAGAGGGGAGAAAGGAAGCACTGAAATTACTCCTTACAATTCCTTGATAAATGCAAATGCCATCACATCGGGGAACTATATTGCAGTGTGAATGAACTGTATAAAGCACGTTGAATTCTAATCGAAAGTAAATTTGAGGGCAGAGTGTGAGGAAACATTTGAGATCTTTTCGTGCCTCACTAAGGGATCAATAGTAAGTGGAATGTTGTGGCCATTTGATGTTGTCAGGCCAGAATTAGGCGAGAAATTCCAAAACATGACAATTGGCTCATTAACGCTGACAACTGCATGAAAAAGTTGGTAATTACTGTTAATTTGCTGCAGACTAACACAGTGTGAGTGACCTTGGCAAACCACTTTTGAACAATTTTAATCATTTCCTTCTGCATCGAATGTGTTGGCCAAATACTTACTCAAACTGAATAATCAGACTGAATTTCCTAATCTACTCTGTGGTAGTTAAATATAGTATATCTATAATTGGAATTGGTTATGTCGTTAGCGGGTTGCAACACTAGTGAAGTCTTGACTGACTCAGAAATCTCTATGGTAGATTCTCCCATATCTATCTAGACCCCCAGATCTAGCTAAAATACAGTCCAGCTATAGAGAAAACAGACGTGTGGTACGGAACACATTCATTCAGGAAGTATACTGTAGATAAAGTGTACACGTAGGAATCTTAGTCATAATCAATATGGTTGATACGCTTAAACCAACGAAAGCATCTGATTGGCCATTGGTTGTGCACGCATGCGATCACGTGTCAGGCTATGACGCGTTCTACAATATCGTTAGAGCATGAAGCCCAATTCTATATGAATCACCCCCCCCCCCACCTCCCAAAAAATTTGACAGTTCTAAAAAACTTACTCTTTGTTGACAAACCGATGATTGTCAAGGATTTCAGAGATGTCAATTTTGCTGCTCACCACTGTTGTCACCCTAAAGACCACCTAAGTTTTCAGGAATCGAAATTACAACGCATCTATTATTATAGTTGGCATTTGTTGTACTTTTAACAAAAGTTCATGTACATTTAATGCTAACTTGTCATTGCATTTTTACGTGTATAAAATTTCCACTTTGGTCAAGTGTGAGAGTGGAATGAGGACGAAATAGTGAGAACAGGAGACAATTTTGCAACGTCCTCTCAACCTCACCATGAGTGACGGTGGCCAATGACTGTGTTGTCTGATCCAACAAATGCCCACAACGAGACAGCAGATCAATTCCTCCAAGTAGTCCACTCTGTGTGCATTGATGTGCTTCATTTTGACTCAGAGAGGTTGCAACTCCACTTCTAGTACATTCGAGACTCACTCAACCCCTTCGGGACAAACCCAATGAATGTCACACTGGTCAATCTTGCCAAATTTTTCAAAAGTTAATCCAATGATAATAATAATAGCTTTGAGTGAACAGCAAATGAAGAGTAGTTGATGTAGGTAAGAGTATTGGCAAGAGAATTTATTTAGGGAAGTCAGAATGCAGAATATTTGGCTTTCTTCTGTGATTTGGAAAGAAAGTGAAACTAGAAAGGCAGAAATTTAAATTGAACTTTTTGCTTTTGCATCATTTGTGGAATGCTTGTGATTCGGAAGTGGGATTTAGACTCTAGGAATTCCTTCCCAACCTGTGTTGGAATGAGGCCAGATATGAAGGAGACAGGTTTGCATTCCAGGAACCGACTCCTCCTCCTCCTTGACATTCTCTTGTGATGTATTCAATAAAAAGAGAGCACTGACAAACGTCAGCACTTGTCACAGTTACTCTCTCTCTCTCTTCCTCTCTTTCAGATGAAATGAAATGAATGAAGATTTCATGTTAGCCCAACATTTGTAAATTGAAAATGAGGGTAAACAGAAGTTAAAATGAAATAAATTACACAATTTCTTGTCTTAACCTACTTTTTAAATACCTGTGTTCAGAAATTTAATCTATTTGGTAAACATGCTCTAGTGTGTAGCGGATTGCTACAAAGTAAACCCTGAACGACTCAGAAATCTCTATGGCAGATTCTCCAACATCTAGCTAGACTCCCAGAACCAGCTAAGCTATAGCCCAGCTATAAAGGAAACAGACGTGTAGCACGGAGTACGTTTATTCAGGACGTATATTGCGGATCAAGTGTACACACAGGGAGCTACTCATGATCAGGATGGGGGATTAGGTTAAACAGAGGTTGATGATTGGTCACTGTTTGTACGGTCGCTGCACACAGAGTTGTACGACGCACCTCCCAATCCTGGCGAGCAGACATGCAGGCATACGATGACGCACACAGCAATAACATGTCCCACAAGTGATTTAAACTTTTAAATATACAATGCTTTAATTCTTATACTTAACAAGAGAGTGTGAGATGTTTTGACAAATCTTTGAAAATTAACTGCATAATTCAATCTTTTCTATCTTTCTTATAAGTCTCTTCTAACAACCTCTCTTTGANTCCTCCTTGACATTCTCTTGTGATGTATTCAATAAAAAGAGAGCACTGACAAACGTCAGCACTTGTCACAGTTACTCTCTCTCTCTCTTCCTCTCTTTCAGATGAAATGAAATGAATGAAGATTTCATGTTAGCCCAACATTTGTAAATTGAAAATGAGGGTAAACAGAAGTTAAAATGAAATAAATTACACAATTTCTTGTCTTAAGCTACTTTTTAAATACAGTGTTCAGAAATTTGACCTGTTTGGAAAATAAACTCATGTATGGGTGGTGCACTCTTTTACATCTGTGAATCACTCTTCTGCCCCCCCCCCTCTCGACTTTTTTTCTCTTTGATGTTCCTCCTCCTCCTCTCTGTGAAGCCTGAAGTCCACTAAATGGCTAATGATAACAATCAAAACGCCTGCTATTTGATATAAATAATAAAAACAGTTGTGCTCATTCAGGAAACCCTTAATCGACGCTCCTTCTGAGCGCGAAATTGCATGGTAGGTCTCCTTAATGAGGAACAGAAATTCCATCGGCCTCCCTGGTA